GCTTGCAAAAAGTGAGCTCTCCAAGAGACCAGGAAATGCTGGTTTTGTGCAGGCTAGTTTTAAAGCAAAATGTGGATGCTGGAGGAAAGGGTCAGCTCTCTGAAATGTTCTGGTCTTGCTCCAGGGGGTTGAGAAACTAAAAAATGAGGAGCAGAAAGGGAAGCAAATGCTTCGTTGGTTTGCATTTTAAAGCAAATTTCCCTTCCACACACACTTTTTTTGTCCCGAAGGATCACATATTGAGGTGGTTTGAACTCTCTTTCTTAATGATTTGGAAACACAACCTTCACTGCATGGGGAAATGTACATTTACAACTCTATGTTTACTGGGTTTCCTTCTCTCAGCTTTGCCTTACTGCTTCACTGGATCCATTAATCGTGAGTGGCTTTAGAAGTTTTTCTTTTTTGATTAAGAGTACATTAACAAAATATTTTTAACTTTCCAAATGTATGAAATGTTTTTAAGGAAGGAAAAATAGCTTCATTTTATCCCCTGAGATCTCTCTACAAAGTTGTTCCAAATGTGTGTTGTTTAATCCCGCTGAGTGAGAGAATCCATAATCTCCTGAATGCTCCTTGTCAAATACTTTCAAGTAGTTAAAACCTGGTGCCTGGTGTCATGTGAAAAATCAAGAGCATCCACCAGAAGTCAAGAACAGCTGAGTGTTTCTATGAGTTGGTTGGGTGGTGGCATCAAACCAAGTACGTTTGCAAGGGCTTCGCTGGCTTGTCCCAAAGTGCTCTGCAGAATTTGTACTATGCTCAAAATGATAATCCTGTGCTGTTTGGAGTTACTGGAGTGTCTGGGAAGGGTACAAATTGGTATTGTGTGATAGCAGCGATGGGTAGAAGCTGTTTTTCAGAAGGTTAAATATTACAAATAAAATATACTTTCTTTAGTCTCATTTAGCACAAAATGAGAAGGGGAAGAAGCTGGAGGACTCTTGGTCTTGGGAAAGGGGTTGATCTATGGGAAACCTTTCATCTTATGAGAAGGTAACTTGACATGTTACGATGCAACACCAGCCAGAACTGATTGGTAGGGCCAGGCTGTCCAGGCATTGCTGGACAAAGACCTCACAAAGGAAATAATTTTCCTGGGTCTTCATGCGTTTGACATGTGTGCCTGCCTTCAAACCCCATATTTTCTTGCACCTCCAACACGGTGCGTAATTTCAGGGATGCCTTGACCCCTCCAGCGATGACTGCTGTTTCCCTCCAGCCTGGGTCTGCAGTTACTGATGTCGACC